GGTGCAATCACAACTGTAATTTTCTTGTTCTTGATGGCCTTTGTGTTTCCTTCTTTCCTGCCTCGTCTTCGCATGCACACTCTCTTCCTTTGTTCGAAGTGGTTCCCACGTTCGCATGCGTGGATCGATGCGCGGAGACTGGCTCCGTCCCCGCCGCCGCGGCCTGGACATGCAGACGTAGGCACTCCCTCTCTTCCTTTGCTTAGGCATAATCCCGAATTCATCGCGCACGCAGGCATGCTATAAATTTCGCAAGCGGGATTAGTTGTTCTCTCTCTGAACTTCGAAGGTTATTGCGGTCAGTGAGGATCGGTTAACGGGTAAGTGGGCTGGTGAGTAGATTGGGTCGGGCGATCCGATGGGTTGGCGCCAAGCAAGCGGGGTTGACGTGCGGGCCACGACGGACTGTGGCGCACGGGCAAACGTGACGGGCCTGCTTGGGCTAAGCGGGGTGACGACTCGGTGTTGGTGCGCTGCGACGGACTGCCCGCATCGGAGGTGACGTCGAAAGAGAGAGAGAGAGAGAGGGAGAGGAGACGGATCGGGATGGTGTCTTTTCCTTTTATTACTTCTTCTTCCAACCTTCTTGTATAAATTTTGGATTTCCGCCTTGGCCAATTTTGTTGCGGCAACTTCGGATTTTCCTTGTGAATTATCTTGAATTTTGGTGTGCGTCATCATTTATTCTCGGCTCTATTAGATCTTGCATGTTTGACAGTCCGATGAATGCTTGTACTTCCTTACTTTCTATTTGCGGAGTAATTGCCATTCTTAATTTCTTCCAAGATTGGTGGTTTCTGTTTGAATGCATGTTGTCTTTCCTTTCGGCCTAAGATGCGCACGCTTGTCGAATCCTCACCCTCGCTAAACATGAATGAGTCTGACGGGAATTTTGTTGTCTTAATGAATGTGCGGGTGAGAACTTGGGATTGCGAGTCGTTCCTGCGGATCCTTCGGAGTCGCTCGTAATGGTAAAGAAGATATGTGTACGGGGGAGTCGTGATTGTACGGACCTGGTTGTTCGCGATTGACTGTTCGAGAGGGACTGAGGGGTCGCACACGGATAAGACATGCGCCTTAGGAAAGGGGAGGGCAATGATGATGGGTACTAGAAAGTGAAGAAATTTGAATTAAGCTAACCCGGATCGTATCTTCTGATCGACCATCGCTTGCATCCACTCCTGCTAATCCGGAACCAGCCCCTCACAGAGTCGTAAGCAGATCCTGTACACGCACGTGTAAACCCGACCGAAAGGGACGGTGCCTACACGCGTGTCTGCAAGATCTGCGCCCGAGCCATGACGACATTTACGTCAGATTGACAGGATGTTTCGCATCACGGACCAAGAAAGTTTGCGGGACCCCGAATATCGAAAATATTGGGAACGAAAGAACGCGTACTTCCTTGCTCAGCCCCGCCCCGCTATGAATCCCCCTCGGCGGCGGCCATCCGCGACCAAATCCGCGGACGCGGCCACTCCGCCGACCCCGCGGACGTGCGGCTTTGAAGCCACGTGGCAGCCGCGGGGGAGCAAATTTCGATCCCGCAACTGGACCCTGGTCGTTTCCTGTAGTGTTAGTTCCAAAGAAAAACAGGTCGATCTGCATTTGCATCGATTATTGGAAATTAAATGATATCACGATCAAGGATGTGTACCCCCTTCCCCGGATTGATGATTTGTTGGATGCGATTGGCTGTGCTAATTATTTCAGCAAGTTCGATATTCGTCATGGTTTTCATCATATTCTGGTGAAGGAGGAGGATCGGCCAAATGGGGCTACCCCCTTTGTGTTATTTGAGGGTACCTGGCAGTGAATTCGTTGCCCGATGGGGATTTGCAATGCACCAGCCATGTTTCAAAGAGCGATGAATGTCACATTTCTAGAATTTCGTGAACAAGATCAGGCTGACGCAGGGCATGATTAATTTCTGCATCATTGTGTACATGGATGATATCCTGGTTTACTCGGAATCGTTCCACGGACATGCTCAGCAAATTGAATGGACACTCGGAGCGTTGAAGGACGCTGGTTTCAAGATTGCATTGGAGAAGAGTGAGTTTTTCCTTTCGGAAATTTCGTTTTTGGGGTACGTGGTGATGAGAGGAGGCTTACGACCGGATTCGAGAAAAGTCGCGGCCGTCCGTGAAGCCCCCACGCCTACCACACTGACGCAAGTTCGGGTTTTTCTAGGACTGGCCTCGTACTACCGTCGATTTATCAAAGGTTTTGCTGCTATTGCACGACCCTCACAAATCTTTTGCGGAAGGACCAGCCACTGAACTGGGATGCAGAGTGTCAGCAGACCTTTGTCACCTTGAAGGAGGCTTTGGCTACGGCGCCTATCTTAATTCGTCCCGATCCGGAAAAGCAGTTCATACTCATTACGGACTGGCAGCCTGAAGCGATCTCCGCTATTTTGGTTCAAAAGGGGAACGACGGCCGAGAACACGTCATTGAGTACGCTTCGTGAACAGTGCCAAATGAGAGGAGAAACGATTCGGCTCTACAAGGTGAATGTTACGCTGTCGTGTGGGGAATCCAGCATTTCCATCTGTATTTGTATGGACATAAATTCCTCCTCGTCACGGACCATGAGCCCTTGCTGGCTCTCAGGAAGCTTACCAACTATACGGGCATGATTGGGCGTTGGGCTGTGCGACTGCAAGAATACGATTTTGATATCATCCACCAGAAGACAGAGAAGCACGGCAACGCTGACGGGCTGACACGATTACACTGGTCCAACAAGGTAGCCAAGAGTGACGAGATTACGCCGTGGAAAAGCCAGAGTTGAACGGCGAGCCCTCGTACGGGCAGGTGGTCATCCTTCCTCGGTCTGCTAAGAAGTGATTAGCGGTTGCAATGGCGTCGGGGCACAAAGGAAATTCCAAAGGCCCTCTTTCTCCCCCTTCGTCTTCATCTCTTCTCTCCCTGCCCGATAAATTTTTCTATTTTTGCGAAGCAATTTCGAGGGTTTATTCGGTCCCTATGCGTCCTAGTGGGGAAGGATATGTCGAATGGGTGGACTGTCTACATTGTGTCTCCCGAGCTCGTAGTTCATGTATTCAGTACCGGAATACAACCAAGTCCTGGTTATGTCCCTTATGTCGAATTGATAAGATTCTGACCGAGGCTCGATTCCTCGAAGCTACGTCTTAAGGGTTAGAAAATACTCGATGGTTTAGGAGGGCTGAGGTCTGGACAGATGTCGTCCTAATAGCTACAGTGGTTGGGAACCCCCTCCGAGACTTTACAAAGGAGGATCGGAGACGGGCCAATGAGCGGGCTCGGGATTATCAATGGAACGAAGGACGGTTAGAAAAACGGAAAACGGATGGTAGCGGATTTGGATGTGTGTCCCGCATCCGTTCATGAGGTATGACTGGGTTAAGTCATCTCACGAGGAAACCGCCGCCCATTTTGCTGTCAGAATTACGGAAGCCGCAATCGATAAAAACGAGTGGTATTGGTCAAACGTTCGCGAGGATGTTAAATTCATCGTCTGAAATTGCTCTGTCTGCGCTGCCGACTAGGCGCCGATTCAGCCGCCTAGGTCGATAGTCCCTACCGTCGTTGAACGACCGTTTTAGAGAGTTAGCATGGATACCACTGATATTGTCGTGCCCCCTGGACCGAATAGCTACGAATATTTAATCCTTTTGGTTTTTGTCGATCATTTTTCAAAGTGGATCGAGGTGTATCCTTGTAAGACGAGACAGGCGGCGGAAATCACGCGGTATGTCAACCGTTTCCTCGGCATGCACCAGGATACGGAAGAAATCTTAACGGATAATGAGGCTGAATTCAAAGGGGATGTTTTGAGGAACCTGGTCCTACACGGTGTTTTTATTCGCAATACTGCTCCCCATATTTCGCAATCGAACGGGCTCGTAAAGAATGCAAACCGGGTAATTAAGACTGCATTGCGACATAATATCGCGGCCAGAGACACGAGGCCCTGACCAGATATCGTGGATCATATCCTTGCGATTCATCGGGGGACACCCACAAATCTACGGGCCTGACACCATTCCAGTTACAGACCAATAGCCTACCGTGTGTAACCCTACCGAACCTAAATGATGAAACGACCCTTCCCCGAAGGGCCACTAGAGCGACGATTAAGGACAAGGTCCAACGTCATTTGGATTTGATGGAAAGGGCCCTCCCCTGGTTGGCCCGAAAAAGACAAAGTATGACGAAAATGGCCCATGATTGACAGGTCCGAAGCTATGAGGCCCGGAACGGGAACGCGGGTCCTCGGCCCCAGTATACATTAGGGGATATAGTGCAGGTGAGGAAATGTGCTCGTCAAGGTAAGCTAGCGCCACGATTCTTCGGGCGATTTCACGTAGTCGAGCTTGGTCCGAGCGGGGTGAACACGGTGTGGCTTACACCGGAGGTGTCGGGAAGTCGATCGGCTCGTCCGATCATTCGCCACGTGTCCTACCTTCGTCCTCTTCCTTCTTCCCCTTCTTCTCCATCGTCTACGTCGTCCCTCGATCTCGAGGAAGAAAACGACCACCTCGACTATCCTGATTCCTCTACTCCTCAGCCTCAGTCCCCCTTGCCATCGGCATGAGTTTTTTGAACGAGCCAGTCATCAGTGAGTGTTTGATGCAACCCAGTGGTTGCATATCGTCGATCCGGCAAGTGCGGCGACCCCGAGTGAGTCCATACTTACTCCGATTCACTGCCTTCTTCAGCACAACGGTCATTCACGCAGCGACCGAATTTCGATTCACGTCAGCTGGAGAGACACGTGTGTTGACCGAGGTGTCGGCCTTTTTGCGTCTGTCTCCCCCGGGAGAAAGCCACGTGTCGGTCATCATCGTCTTCACGGGCGACCTTACTTTTCTGCATCCGGCGCGCCATACGGAGATCTTCCAACAGCAGAGAGTCTGGGCGACGGATATCATGAGGGCGTGGGTGCAATCGTTGGCTCAGCCTCGCGATCGGGTCGTGACGACCAACAATATCGACCTTCAGCTTCGGGTGTCTCTCAGACTCTCACTGCGCCGGAGGTCGAACTTCCTGAGCTTCTTCCTTTTGCCCCGCCTCGATGAACCGTCATCGCCTCTCCACCTTCACCCTCCCTTCGGATGTCCCCGTGTTCTGGCAGTCTGCCGTGGACACATCTTTGTCCTTCACGACCAAGCACCTGGACGTGTCGATCTTGAGCGCGCTGCCGTGGGGCCGATGGTGGCAGTGGCAAGCTTACGTGGCGCTCAGCTTTTGCCTTCTCGAGGTCGCGTTCCATTGGGCAGAGCCTGCAGATCGGACCGTGGAGAGCGAGGTTCCAGATGATGAGGTAGAGCTGCTGCTCGTTCAAGCATGGACTACAAGTACGGAAGGAGATTTTATGGGGATCATATTTGGGGAAGTGCGCGACGACAATTTGGGCTCCATCACAGACGAATTGCTGGTATTTTTGGTCCAACTGTTGGACGATCTGCCACTCGAGATCGTGTCGCGTTGCGACGAAAGACCAGGAACGGCCACGCTTACTCGCTCCTTGGAACCTCACGTCCTGTGGTCCACGTGTACGGAGTTAGACGAGGGGAGCTACTATTTGTCATCGAGGGGCGTGCATCTGACAGTCGACGTCACCGATCTGTCCAGGTGGGACCCGCTCGTCCAACGCCCTGAAGGGCAAACAAGCGAGGAGGCACAGGAGGAAGAAGAAGAGTCCGAAGAGTCGACGAAGGAGGAGGAGCGGAACGACGATCCTGATTACCGAGAGTCCGAGGACGAGGTGCTGGGAGAGGCTGGATCGGGGGAAGACAACGAGGAACAGGAGGACGACTCGGAGGAGGAGGCTGGCGAAGAGGAAGCCACGTCGACTGATTCGAGTGAAGCAGCCGAGCTGACGAGGGAGGAGCAGGAAGCTGAGGACCAGAAACAGCGGGAGAAGGGGTCAAGGACTCAGGACCGCCACCGCGGCTGCCGCAGGGAAATCCTGCGCTCAATCTGGAGCCTCCGCGGGAAGAAGACGAGAGAGATGGAGCCGCCGCAACCGGGCCCTCAACAAGCCGCCGCAGCCGAAGAAATGGATCCCCCTCTCAATCCTCTCCACCCTCCCGTGCCGCCCTTACGTCGAGATGCGGGCGCTCGGCCTTCGTCCCCAGTCATTATCCCATCATCCCCATGACTTCCTCACCGTCCAGCAGCTTTTAGGCCGACCCCCGTTCCCCAATAGGTGGCATCCGTTTCCTCTTCCCCTCTTCTATCATCGCTATGCCACTCAGTTCCTGATCACCATCTTCCCTCGCACTACTACCCGTTCGCTCGTCGCTTCCTTTCCTCTCCATTTCCTACTCTTTAGCGTCGATTGGCAGGAATGCAATCATATGGAGGTTTATTGCATCATCTCTGGCACGATCCCTGCGTGCGAAGATTATGACAATTTCCTCGCAGCCATTCGTCGTACCATCGACACCCTTTACCTCGACTACCTTGCTTCTCTCCCCCACCAACGACGACACCCTCGCTTTCCTCGTATCCATCGCTCCATCTACTACATCCCGCTCCCTTCTGACGATAGGGAGATCTATAGCTTCATGCCTCCCCTTCCCCAGGTACATCCGTCCCCTCCCGCGCCTGTAATCAGACTACCCTTCCCCGACACCATTCTGGATTGAGCACACGATTGCCACGTTGGAAGACTTCCACACTCGGATCCTACAGTGTGGCACGTGTAAGCTCTGCGTCGATCGTCCGATCATGGATCGACGCCTGATGAGAGAGCAAGTGGGAGCTTGCTCAAAATTGGAACCCCCTGGGCGTCACATATGTGACGAACTATCTTCTGTAACCGCGCGACTTCCTGCGCGAAGCTGCTGTGGGAAAATAGGAGGGCTTTGATGGGCGACGAGCGTAAGCAGGGATCGGTTGGGCAAGTTGCATGGATGCCCTCGCTTCTTTTCTATTTTTGTTGGAATTCATTGGGCCGGTGTCGGGAAAGTCTCGCGCTGACGATTGAGTGACCGCGCCTTAGCGAGCGCGAGAAATAACGATTGCCATAGCTCCTTTCTTGTTCTGCTGTGAGCACTCGGAATTTTGGCGCGATTAGCGCGCGGGAATTTTTATTTTTGAAATTCGAACTAATGTCGAGCCCCCACAGGCTCTCGGGATTGTTTTTCTTTTGGAATTTCCTTTTGCAATTAGGATTTAGACTAGGAATTTAGGCACCTTGCAATTTGGCTGCACGACGCTTCTTGCTCGCACGCGCCATGCCTCGACAGGGTCTGGGCTCTGATTTCCATCCGCGCCTTGATCTTGTGTGTAACTGTAGTTTTTTGGCGGGCGCAATCGCAACTGTAATCTTCTTGTTCTTGATGGCCTTTGTGTTTCCTTCTTTCCCACCTCGTCTTCGCATGCACACTCTCTTCCTTTGTTCTAAGTGGTTCCCACGTTCGCACGCCCGGATCGATGCGCGGAGACTGGCTCCGTCCCCGCCGCCGCGGCCTGGACATGCAGACGTAGGCACTCCCTCTCTTCCTTTGCTTAGGCATAATCCCGAATTCATCGCGCACGCAGGCATGCTATAAATTTCGCAAGCGCAATTAGTTGTTCTCTCTCCGAACTTGGAAGGTTAGCAAGGTCAGTGAGGATCGGCTAACGAGTAAGTGGGCAGGTGAGTAGATTGGATAGGGCGATCCGACGGGCTGGCGCCAAGTAAGCGGTGTTGACGTGCGGGCCACGACGGACTGTGGCGCACGGGCGAATCTGACGGGCCAGCTTGGGCTAAGCGGGGTGACGACTTGGTGTTGGTGCGCGGCGATGGACAGCCCACATCGGAGGTGACGTGGAAAGAAAGAGAGAGAGATGGAAAGGAGACGGATCGGGATGATGTCTTTTCCTTTTATTACTTCTTCTTCAACCTTCCTGTATAAATTTTAGATTTCTGCCCTGGCCAATTTTGTTGCGGCAACTTTAGATTTTGCTTGTGAATTATCTTGAATTTAGGTGTGCGTCATCATTTATTCTCGGCTCTATTAGATCTTGGATGTTTGACAGTCCGATGAATGCTTGTACTTCCTCACTCTCTGTTTGCGGCATAATTGTCATTCTCAATTTCTTGCAAGATCGGTGGTTTCTGTTTGAATGCATGTTGTCTTTCCTTTCGGCCTAAGATGCGCACGCTTGTCGAATCCTCGCCCTCGCTAAACACGAATGAGTCTGATGGGAATTTTGTTGTCTTAATGAATGTGCGGGTGAGAACTTGGGATTGCGAGTCGTTCTTGCGGATCCTTCGGACTCGCGCGTAATGGTAGAGCAGATATGTGTACGTGGGAGTCGTGATTGTACGGACCCGTGATTGGTTGTTCGCAATTGAATGTTCAGGAGGGACTGAGGGGTCACGCACGGATAAGACATGCGCCTTCGGAAAGGGGAGGGCAATGATGATGGGTACTAGAAAGTGACGAAATTTGAATTAAGCTAACCTGGATCGTATCTTCTGATCGACCATCGCTTGCGCCCACTCCTGCTAATCCCGAGTCAGCCCCTCACATAGTCGTAAGCAGATCCTATGCACGCACGTGTAAACCCGACCGAAAGGGACGGGGCCTACACGCGTGTCTGCAAGATCTGCGTGCGGGCCATGACGGTGTTTACGTCGGATTGACAGGATGTTTCACATCGCAGACCAAGAGAGTTTGTGGGACCACGAATATCGGAAATATTGGGAACGAAAGAACGCGTACTTCCTCGCTCAGCCCTGCCCCGAGCCTCCGAGATTCCCTTACCAGCGAGGAGAAAAACGTGTGTGCGATTGGGATATAGGAAGGGCATTGGATGCTGTTCCTTCCACAACCCAATTCCCTAAGTCCCACACGAGCCACGTCTTCCCCGAACCTGGGGTCGTTGTCGTAATAACTCACTGCCCACCGTACCAAGTGGTGCTGCCCTTCCACTACCTCACCGTTATCCCGTGGCACGATATCGCTCCCTACTGGCCTTGAACCCCTTGTTTTGAGTGCGAGCGAGACAGCAAGTACCGAGCCTCGGGGTTCGTCCGCCGAACTCGAACGGAGTCTGAACGGTGGGCACGCAACCTCCGGCTGAGACCTTCGTCGTTTGATTCCGAAGTTTGCAGTGATCGACGACAGCAGCTGATCGGACAGCGCGATACCCATAGCGTGCACCCTGTCCATCAGGTCCGTGACCGGCCACAAAGGCGAAACCAGAGGAGATGGTGATTCCCATCTCTCGGGCCTAAGGCATACGAAACCTGCTTGAGATCGACGACAGGGGCAATGTTGTAGGGGATTCTGTTCGAAGAATGCAAGAGTGTCTAGATCTGTTAACGACGTGATTACGTCGGGACTCGTATCCCTGGGATACACTGTGCATGCCATCTGCCTTTTTTTTTTTTTTTTTTTTTTTTTTTTTTTGTTGAGAACAACCCAATCGGATGCTAGGTGTGCTGATAAGAGCAGACACATCTAGCACCGTCGGGGAGGCTCCATCTATTGGTGGGGAGCAGCACCTGCGGGAAATCGGGTCCAGCGTCCCATTGAATATATCTTTGTGATACAATGTTTGTTGAGTGAAACAAATTCCCTATTCTATTATATTCCCAGGGGGAGGCGGGATGCATTGATTACTTCCCCCGAAGGGAAGGATTGACCTCTGCACCTGAATCTTCATGAAGCCATTCCGGAGAACCCAACTTCTACAAAAACGTGGATTCCCAATTCTAGTTATATTCGTAAGGGGAGGCGAGAGGCATTGATTACTTCCCCGAAGGAAAGGATTGACCTCTGCACCAGCTTCTTCACTGAAAAGAGAGAGCAGACCCTAGGTTGAAGAGCACAGATGCCACAGAGGGATACACACCACAAACCCTAGTGGACATGATCCAATACCTGATCCAATATCGGGCACTGATCAGGCTCTCCATACCCCCACCACACTCCCCAATGGAGCGAGAGCGGTACCAATGGCAAGTGAATTAGCAGTCTGCTTTCTCTCAAATTGTAATTGTTTTTATCTTTATTTTTGTTTTGGATCGTATTACAGTAGGCCGCAGGAGGAGATTCCAGGTCAGCACCACGTTACACACCACCAAGGGTAACGCGCAGGAGGAGGTTCCAGGTCAGCACCAAGTTACAAGCATATTCCTCCGCCAACAGTCCTCACCTATAACCGTAGGGGCAAGGCATTTAAGCTACGAATGATCAAAAGACATCCCAGACACTCCGTCGCCTCCTCCATAGAAACTCGACCTTGACTATTGATAGCCTCGCTCCCAACACCCTCTCCTCCCACCAACCCCGTACCCATCGACACACGGTCATCACGAACCAACCCACTCTCACCTCCCCGTCCCCTTCGCTGAGAAAAGTCCAAGTTCTATCACCAGCCTATGGAGAAGGGGCGACAGGACAAGGCCAGAAATCGTTACCACCAAGAGGAGACACATCGACTCCATCCACCAAAGAGGGTCGCAGCAACGCACCCCCAGCACTCACCTTCCCGGCAGCTACCCCCACGGCCAGCATGCTTAGCATAGTCGATGTCGCCTCCGTTGTTGATGTCTTCATCGTACTTGTTGTTGTTGTTGTTGTTATTGTTGTTGTTGTCGTCACCATTTTTGTCGGTATTGCTGACAAAGCAGCCAGACCACACGAAGAAAGCCGCGCATCCAATGAGAGCAGGTGAGGCTGCCGGCCTTCACCATCTCCCTGATGAGCAACGACCATAGTGTCCCAAGCCGTCTCATCAATCGAGTGATCACACCCTGCCGTCTGCCCATCTGACCCCTCCGCAAGTGGCGCCCGAAGCTCATCACACAATTCAGTGCCCTCCTCAAAAAGGGCATAACAGTGCCCTGTCAGAAGGTCTGCCTGGCTGCAATCGATAGCGCCTTCCGTCAGAGAGGCTGATCCCTCCTGGAGCTCCCACACGATTTTCAGCATCCGTTCCATCACGGCCTCCAACCACCCAGCCAACGAGGTCGCCCCCTGATCGACCCGTGGCCAGCAAGTGGCAGTCGACGCCACCTGGTCCTGCAGGTGACACCGACATGACTCCAAGATGGAAAGCCATGCGTCCTTCTCGTAGCGCAAATCCTCCATCGCAGACAACACCCAGGTGTTATCGACGAGCAAATACCTCCCTATGTTATTTGTCCGCCCCCGCCCTTCGCCACAATCGTATGTGCACCGACGTGCTATCCGCCCACGTACCTCCGCCTTGCACATGTCACGTCAGCGGAACCACTGGCACGCAGGCTAGAACTCCAGATAGCATTGACGGAGGGCACCCTCGAGGATGCCGATCTGCCATAGCTGCCGGAGGCCAAGGAGTGCGGGCGGGCCACGCCGTGCTGGTCCTTTGCGCCAGTTAGCGCTCTTTACCGCCACAGTCCCGGCCATGTTTCGCAAATTCTACGTCCTGGGAACCCTGCATTACAGGGCATGACATCTGCAGCTTTCATTTCTTTACACAGTCTGAGGGGCGGTCTATCTGCTCATAAAACCTGAAACGCCGCGCACGGCCCGCACTTGCCCTCTTGCACTTTTACCCCCGAAACTTCCCACAGGAGATCTCAGTTCTGTCCTGGGACTCCACCCCCCCCCCACTTTCCTAAAATCCTTGGCACACCCCCTTTTCGCACTTCCGGGCCCCCAGCCCACTCCAATCAGGAAGTCGTGCTGGGCGTGAGGTTGGGCGTCACAGTCCTATGGTTCTTTGGAGGCCTTTTGTCCTTGGGTCTTTGTCCCTGCTCGAGGATTCCCATTGATAGAGCTTCAGCAACACTCTTTCTTTGTTGTTGCCAAGTATATGTTGTCTTCTTGTCAGTGACGACACATAAGACTGCTGCTTTCTATGGTGGCATGTCCGGACCTGTAAAACAAATGGTGGGGTGTGAGGGAGGGTAGCATTGTTCCAAGGACAGGCACGATGCTAGCGTGTCCGGAAGGTAGGGCAATCGAAGTCTATGGATGATTCTGGGAGTGGGTACTGGGAAATACTTCAGTTGGACACTCTTGCTGATGGGACGCTGGGCCCAGTTTCCAGCAGGTGCTGCTTCTGGCAGATAGATCAGAGCCATCCCCTTGGCAAGGCCTCAATTCAGGTGGTTCTTTTACCACCACTTGCACAGGAACGCTTCCTTTCAACCACCAGTACCTTTCCCCGCTTGGGATCCGGAGCACGACTGTTTACAAGGGGACCCGTTTCGGCCTCCGGCGCCGACCAGATCCACCGGCCGCGCTTGGCGCACAACGCCCATGGCCGATATATGTGAAAGGTACTGGCGGTTTTCTCTTTTCATGTTCAGTAAGCTACATTTTTCTCTCAATTTCACCTCACAATACATACGTATAATTACGGCTACTGGTGGCTTAAACCGCCACCGCCTTTCGCAGTGTTGGGAAAAGTAGGAATATAACCGATACCACATTCTTCAGGGACCGAGCCCAATGGTGGCCACTGTTGATAAATGTCATTGGTGGTCATCATTTCGTTTTGGCCCCCGGAACGAGCGGGGACCCCCCCAGTGGCCGACGTACGTGAAAGGTAAAAAAAGGAACAAAAAGAGACTGCTGCTTCCCAGAATAGAAACGGCATTGTTTTTTTTTTATTTATATAAGTAAGTATAGCTGTCCTGGATAGTTGTGCTTTATTATTATTATTATTATTTTTTTTGACAGTTGGGGATTCTTAACTTCCTGCTTGGGGTTGCACTGGGGTGGAGTGGCTGAGTTTGTGCTCTTAGTCTTCATGGGTGGCGCCCTCGTGACTGAGTTTGTGCTCTGCTTTCTCTTTCTCTGTCCTGAGTAATCATGCGTTGTTTCTTTTCTTTTTAACTTTGATCTCTTTGACCGGTATGCGTGTTTAGTGTTCAGTATCTGAAACTGCTGAGTCGACAGGACTGGCTATTCCTGAACGTGTTTCTGGTGCCTAGTGGGAAGGGGTGCAGAGGCTGCGGGTCTGCAACTATAATGTCAAAAAAAAAAAGAAAAAGGAGAAGAAGAAGACGATGAAGAAGAAGAAGTATCCTTTATGTTTCATGGGACACTTGCCCTGGTTGTCAGCAGATGCTGCTGCACCAATAGGACGGAGCCTCAGCAGTGTTGGAGCACAGCAGAAACCCTGGGGTTCCCCCAGAGTGGCAGAACGCCCCGATCAACTGAGCTTTTTGGACTTCCTCCCACCCTTAAATAAGTGCCCCTGTCAATTGGTGTGGGGGAACACCTGCTGAGCTCTTTGTAGGAAAAAAAAAGAAAATGAAGCAGTTGCACAGTCTTCCCAGCATTGTAGGCTGCCATAGCAATCTAACTTATCTAAGTTATAATTGATGTGATGCCTCGGGGTACAAAGGGGTACCTGCTTCAACGCCTCCATCGCAGACTTTGCTCCGCTGTCTCGGTGAGGCAACAATGCATCTCAACCCAGGTCATGAACCTGTCCATGGCCTTCACCACATACACTCTTTCCTGAAAAGGGGTGTTCTTTGTCCTAAAAAGGGGCAACAGCCAAAGAAGATACAATAATGGAGGTTGACATCCATGGCCTACAAGGTTGGGAGAGTGACAGGAGAGGAAGGGGAAGGATTAGGGGTGAGGCCCGATTCATCTGGATCCTTCATTTCTGGGCTTCTTGGTAATCTATGTTCGGAAACAAGGGTTTTTGATAAGTGGGGCCTCACCCCACAGAAGCGTGTGGAGAGCACGTGGTCATGGCCTTCCTGACTCCGAGTCAGACTTGGTAAGGAAAACCAACAGAAACTAGAATTGGGAAAATCTTCAACACTCTCATTTCCCGTTTTTTTTTTGGTTCTAAGTGCCCTCTTTCAATTGGATTTTTTCTTATAAGCAGGCGTAAAAATCAGGAAGATGGTATGCGTTGGCAGACCACATCACTCGGTGACCATGGGCTAGAGCCACATCACATTGTCCAGGGGATGAGAAACTTCTGTCTGTGGACAGCTCTTTCAGCGCATTTATGTGATCAATTCCTCATAGGGAATCTCCCCATCTGATTCATGCATTTTTTATTTGTTTTTCCCCTTTTTGAACTTCAGTCTCAGGGTGCCCGCTCCCCGTGTTCAAGGCTCCATCTGTTGGTGGGGAGCTGCACCTGCTAGAAATTGGGTCCAGCGTCCCTATATGGTACATTTATGAGTGAACCTGGTATTGGTTGATGTCTGAGTATCTAAGCCTGTGCGGGCCGAGATAGTGAGTTATGTATGATGAATGGTGTATGGTGACCTATGTTTGTGTATACAGTAGTTGTGGCTATGAACCCTGTGTGTCGGTCTGTTGAGGTAGCCTATATCTTTTCTACGTATTGATGTGGTTTGTGAGATTGACCAGTATGTGACGTGCCAACTTCTGTGCTTGAACGAACCTCTGAAGCCCTTTGTTCCGCTACTCCTTTCTTTTCGGCCACTAACAGGCTTTGGGGTACCTTCTTTTTGGCTGGCGGGTAATGCACGGAATCAATGGCCTAATGTTTTCGTTCTCTTTTCATGATTTTTTTATTTTTGCTTTTCTCCAACTTTACATAGGAATTGTGCGCGCCTTAGCGAGCGTGGTAGGAATTTTGCTCGACAGTTGGGAATTTCCGGAACTCGTGGGCGTACTTCCCGGCCACGGGTCCTCTCTTGTGCATGAGCGTCCCCAAAATCGTCCCGGGAACCCCCCCCCAAAAAATATGTAGGAACAAGAATGGATGTTGGAATTCGCGCGCCAGAATTCACGTGCGGATATTGCTTTTGAATTTTTCAATCTTGAATTAGCCCTGGGACTTGGTTTCGCTTGTAATTGGCCTCATGCATAACTGTTTCGGTGCCTTTTCGTATCTATGTCGGCGCCATGCATGGAAGCTTCCCCTCGCCCCCCACTACATCTCAGACTATGTTCACCCTTCTTCCTTTGTGCCTTCTTCTTTAACCCGTAACTATTTGGAAGCTTCCCCTCGCCCCCCACTACATCTCAGACTATGTTCACCCTTTTTCCTTTGTGCCTTCTTCTTTAACCCGTAACTATTTTCCATCCCCTTCCTTCGCGCTCTCTCCCTCCATCTGAATCTTGGTCCCGTTCCGCACCATTCTTCCCCTCCTCCCCCTTCCCGCCTTCGTCTCCATACATAAAGTCCCTACCGATCCCCTCTCAGAGACTTTGAGCCACCAGACAACAGCGTGTAAGGAGGATTAATCCCCTGGCATTCTGATCTGATTGGCTGCGAAGAACTCGCGCTGATCAAAATGGCTTTCCCAAGGCGATAAATTTGTCTCCCCTCCTTTCTCTCTTCTACTCCTTCTCCTTCCCTCTCTCCTGTCTTCTGCCTCTCTATCCGCAAGTATAATATCTGCAAGCGCATCTGAAAATCTCTCTCGGAACCCATCTGCCAGCTTCAGAGAAGTAGTGGCTAGATGATGTGATGATCGGCGAGTCGAAAAGTTTTGACGAGCTGACTGCAGTTTTGTGAGGCCGTGCCGCGGGTGGCCGTGACGGACTGCGGGATCTGAGCAAGTCGGTGTAGAAACTAAGTTGGCGGTGTGATGATCGTCGTGGCAAGGAGGTTGGTACGTAACGGTCGGGTTCGCCAGTGCCTACGCAAGTAAGGTGTGCGCGTTGACGAGTGGTTGCATGGCCCGGGGCCATGGTGTGAAACCAGAAGGCCTGCGCGCCTTATTCTTCGTTCGTCTTTTGTTTTGAAAGCTAAGTGCATGGCGAAACACGGATTTCTTTCAATTCTGCCAAGTGTGATTACGACTTTGTCTCAATTCGTAATCTACTTCTTCGGTCAAGCTGTGACTGTGGCCGACCCACTGGGTGAGGTGCTCCGCCTGGGATAGAGATGGAGATGGAGGATGAGGGTGGAGCAAGACTCGGATGGCACAGCGCGGCTCCCACGCGGACTCCAACGCACGTACTCCAAACTGTGCGAATGTAGAATGACCCAAAGTACAGACTCTGGCTGGGTTACACCCCAACGGACTGACTGGACTGAACTGGACTGGCTGGTACCGACAGAGGTATCGGCCTGGACTGGACTAGCCCGAATACAACACAGGCCTGTGAGAACAGGCCAAGGGGCTGGTCTCACAGGCCAACCAGAGGTCCGTTGTCGAGCGCATCGGTCCGGCACCGCGCAAGGCGGGGCGGGACCCTCCCGGCCACGTCACGCTGGAGTTGGTCTATTCCTCATCACGAATACACATGGAGCTTCCACAAGCAGCTCTGACCGAGTGCGCCAGCCATACCTCTCGCGAGCCCCTACGATAGGATAGGGCCTATGCGAGGCACGACTTACCTCCACCTTACGGGAGCTGTCACCTCCCTTCGGTGGGTGTATCCCCCTCGAGCTACCAGTCCACAGTACGAAAGTTAATCAG